GAGCAATGGCACAGCCTCAAAGGACACAAATGTTAAATTACACTGATAAAACTAGTATGGACTTGTTACCAGGTTTCAACAAAATCTGCTGTTTTGATCAGCTTCATAACATGCTTACAGACAGAAACAGTAAAGTGAATAACAGTCCCACAAGTTACTGAAAAACAAATAAATCAAAGTAAAATTAGATGTCCTTATGGTACTACTTCCTTCCTGTGGCTCTGAAAAAGATGTTTCCTTGCTCACTGTTTGTTATCAGGCCTCACAGAGGTCCAACTTCTCTCCCCCGTCCCATGGGACGAAGTGACCCCATTTCTTGCACTCTGCCTCTATAACTCAACCGGTCCCCCCCCCTCACGTTTGCTTCAAACCCAAAATTGAAGCAACATGTTCCTCTGAAAACTTAGTATCCACTGACATGACTACACGAGGGTCAAAGGGGTAGTATGTGGCCATGAGGGTGCGTATCTTGCTGGGGGATGTGCGCCACTTCCAATGCATGCACGTCTACATCGTGACCCCTGGTAAAGGTAAAGCTATCCCTGTAAGCAGCCATGGAGACAGATAGGGTTGTCAGATGTCAAGGCTCCCACATTTTCCCTAGACAATTGGCTCACAGATGGTTGTGCGGTCATCAGCCTTATGTGCTGGCAGGCCACCCTTTACCCATGAAGATTCCTGGTACTCATTTTTGTTAGAGGATGAGTCACCCACAAGGCCATGGAGGGGCTGGAAGTATTAAGTCAACTGAAATATCCAATGACCTCCTCAGGAAACAAACTTGTGATCTTCCAGCATTTAGCACAATGCCTCACCCAACTACACTAACACGTGCACCCTTGTGACCCCTGAGCAATGTCTTTTATGGCTAAGTAATGCAAGGGCAAAAATAAAGTTCCTGGCACCTCCAAATTGGGACCAACCAGCTAAGGAGACAACCCTGACAGAAAACACTGGCACTCCGTGATTGCTAGGGGTTTGGCTCACAACTCCACCCTGGGGAAAATATGTTGTTAAGAAAACTGTAGAAGCAACATCAGGCCTGACTATTATATGTACAAGACCAACTGAAGCTTCTGAAAAAGTCCTGGGTCCACACAGGACTGTCAAGCCAATGGTGATTACGATGGCAAGACTACACAGAGCAACAATCCAGATGATCACATCTGAACAATCACTACTGCAACGTCAAAACCTGTAGTTTTAGTATGAGTTGTGAAACTAGCTAATGATTGGTCAAAGCTATGCCATGGTTCAAAGACACTTACAGGATATCCACCACAGCAACCTGGACTTGATCCCAGGTTATGTGGGATTTATGATGAACAAAGTGGCCACTGGGCAGGTTTTCTCAAAGTACTTTGGTTTCCCCTGCCAATTCTCATTCCACCAACTGCTCCACATTCATTAATCAACCTACCATCCGACACTGCATGGTCTTGATATTGATATACTCATTCAATAACTTAAAAAAAATACACTAACACCTCACTAATTCAGACTAATTTGGGGTTACCCCTTTTCCAAATTAGTTAAAGTCTGAATTATGGAAATGCTACTGAAAATATGTTCAGGGAAGTTATATGATATATGGACTTCATGTGTCTTTTTAGGCAATACAACTTTATTTTTAAACTCCAGGCTGTGCCATAGCTCAAGCGGTTAGTCGCTGGCTTCCCACATCGGCAGCCCAGGTTCAATCCCGGGTCTGGTCAAATGAAATTTGTGGTGGACAAAGTGGCACTGGGGTGGGTTTTCTCAGAGTACTTCAGTTTCCCCTGCCAATCTTCATTCCACCAAATTCTCCATCATCATAATCATCCGGGGCAGGCTACAATAGGCCAATCAGTGGCCTCTGTGCCGAGTGGACCCAGTTGGACTCAACCCCCCACTAAGCGAATTAAAAGAATTATTTTTAAACATATCAGATATCATGAAATAAATTTTATGCCCTAAAATGTATAAAAGTAAGTTCTGACAAGTCTTAAAAACAATTTAGGCAGCCTACATACTTTATATTATTGAGACTGTGTTTAAAAAATGAACTTATTTTGGTTTGGGTTCCTCTTATGTACTGTTCTTTTATTATAGCTTGCTGATCATGGCAATGTCATGATCAAGGTTGCAATGTGGCAGAAAAGAAACAGCTGTCCAAATTTTAATGAATTCCAAATTAGTGAGGTTTCACTGCACTTGGCCAAGTCCAATGATAAGTCAAATGTTTCATTAATACATAACTTACCTCATTCATTTAACCTTTTAAAGCCTAAAGGCGACATATGGAGTCACAAAAATAAAGTCAAGGGGACGAATGACGACATATGTCGTCGCGCAGTCCACGCGTGCGTCCGGCTTTATAAAATCTAATTTTAAGTTATAAATTCTTGTTCTACTTACATGATTTTTGGACACCAGCTTTATAAGTTGTCTGTCTTCCCACCTGCATCATCTAACGGAATGTTGCCTTCTTGTGGAATTCTTGGAAACATCCGGAAATGCAGAGTCCAACGTCGCACTTCACGCACTTTGTCCGGACGGTTCTTCATTTCCCACGCGAAAAGCACACACGACACCTCAATTGCGAAGTAGAGGAAGTCGGCCAGTGATGTGGTTTGGCCTCCTCTAATCGAGATATCTCCGATGAAACGGCAGGGGTTCAACCCCTGGGCCATTGGGTGCGAGGTGGACCCCTTCCAGCATGTTCCACACAAGAGCGAGACAAAATTCTCTGTGTGACAACAGGATGTAACTGTTCAGATCCAGGAGATGGAAAAATAGTTTATTTGTCCATTTCCAGGTTCGACGACAGATGCTATAACTGTTTGCCACAGTTTGCCCACAGCTCCACCTGAATAATTATTCACACTCCTCTTGCCATGCTGATGTGGTGGTCCCCAGGTTGCCGACCAAGATGATGGTTCTTCGTCGGAATCAACCACCAGTGATGTGGTTTGGCCTCCTCTAATCGAGATATCTCCGCTGAAACAGCAGGGGTTCGACGCCTGGGCCGCTGGAAGCGAGGTGGACCCCTTCCAGCATGTTCCGCACAAGAGCGAGATGAAATTCTCTGTGTGACAACAGGATGTAACTGTTCAGATCCAGGAGATGGAAAAATAGTTTATTTGTCCATTTCCAGGTTCGACGACAGATGCTATAACTGTTTGCCACAGTTTGCCCACAGCTCCACCTGAATAATTATTCACACTCCTCTTGCCATGCTGGTGTGGTGGTCCCCAGGTTGCCGACCAAGATGATGGTTCTTCGTCGAAATCAATTTCTGATTCACTTTCCTCAACGCCACTCTCAGAATTGTCGGTACAACAATCTGATTCGGAGTCATTTATGAGCTGAAACATGTCCCAGTCTTCCAAACGAGACCACGCAATGGTTGGGTCACAACTTTGCAGAATGCTAAGCTTTGACACTGCTTGGCTGTGGTATCAGGACGCTAACCTTGAAAGTTCTTATAACTAACAGCAGCAGAGTAAGAACAGAGAACTCGTTGTGTAGCTATAAGCGATAAAAAACAATCAGGGTTCTTATGAACGAATAGATACTCGCAGACACCTCTGCATACCGAAAGAACGTACGTGTATATACACTGACACACGCAGGCCTAAGCCCCGGCTAGCACATCTGCTGTGTTGCCACTTCAGCAGCATTCATACTTGCAAGAACTGTATGAATTCTTGTAGACATATGACAAATTGAGGAATATTTAAGTTGGAATCAGTATAAAAATTTTTACACATTTTATAAAGTCTGTAAATTACAATACCTGATTCTATATTCTTTCTAGAAAAAAGCAGCGTTTATTTGGTTCGTTTATCACAAAAATTGTAGAAATCACAGCAATTTTAGTAAATGATTACAGTTTTTATTGCTTTATAATTGCTGGTATTTAAATTAAATCCGTCCCGCAGCCATTACCGGAATTTAAAGGGCCGTCTCTTAAAGGTTAATGATGTTTATAACAGCTGAGAACAAATGCAAGTGAAGAATGAATGGCAGTGAATAACAGACTGGAATGATGTGGTTGTAACCGCTCATTACCTACCGTCATAAATTTCAGAAACTTATATTTCTTACTTCTTACCACTTCTGTACTAAATGTAACTTATGCCCAGTTTTGAATTAACTGTTCTAAGAATTTGCAGTGAGGAATGTACAGATACACACTACTAGAAGGTTCTTTAATAGTCGGCGTGGTATGTGAATGACTACTCATCCCACTGCCAGTCTGATAAATGAAACTTCCAGAATGTTCTCAATTAAAAGACAATGAGAAGGCTTCGGGAATAATCTGGAAAGAGAAGGTTCTGGATGTTACATCATCTCAAAGTATTTAAAGGGATTAATCCCCAGATGACGGACAATGGCCAATCAGTTGGGCAGTCAGTGAGTGAACATGTATATTCAGTAAGACACACAGGCTGGGGGATTGACGTACCTCATTCACAATACAGTAATGTAGTGTTGTGAATATTAAAGCCGTGTACGTTGTGTGCCAAAGTGCAACTGTGATTGTAAGTGACTAAGTGTCTGCTGCTTCTAACCATGAAGTACTGTCAATAAAGGAAGTGTAACACTGTATCAACACTAAGTGTGGTCCAGAGACTTCTTCGCCAAGAAAACCTCTTTCATTGAAGCAAGGTCTGTTAAGCCCTGAAAAGAATCTCATAGCTCGAACCCAGGACATTATCCCTTTCTCCCAAGGCACCTCGACAAGGTTCCCAGACCACATAACATCCATACCAATCACAAAGGGCAGCCAAGAACTCTCACAAGTAACATTCACGCGTGACATTTACAAGATGCCTGTAAAAGAACTATTACATGGTTGTTGCCTAATATGAGATGCTAAACCACGATTATTCTTCACTGGACTGTGAAGAATCATACAAGACTTTAGTCAGGACAGCTGGTCTCTGTTTCAAGATTTGGCCTGGAAGACTAAACAGTTTAATGCCACCTACTTGATTATGACATTAGGTTCTTACCTTGTGAAATGACCAGCCCAGAGTCCTGCTGTGCTGCTGATTTTGCTGCTGTTTCAGACATTGGAGGGCATTACAACACTGCATATGGCCGATCAATACCACTTGTAAAATTGTGTGTGGTAAAAGGCCAAAGGCTCAAAAAATGCAGAAAACTAACAAAAACCAGGCTCATTTTTTTCGTTCGAAATCTGCAAAACAAATTATGGAGTTGCAATTATATTCTGCATCTATGAATGGAAAGACACCTACTTTTGGTAATGACAACTGTCATTATGTATAAATACATAAAGCATTACAATTCCAAAATGCTGTATTCAAATTATGGCTTCTTATTACAAAGACACTTTGGCTAGCTGAGATTGATTTTTAAATAATGTCAATGAAAATTATTTTCATACAAAAGGAATAGAACGAAATGCGCATTTTGACAAATAAACGACAAAATTCCGGTTAGAATTTCTAACTGCAAGGACAATACTTTCATACAGAATTAGATCATTGAACCCTAACATAATAGTCTTTGTAGTTTCATTATAGTAACAGCAGTGATTTAAATAAATAATCAACAACAGTTCTATTATGCAACTAGCAAAACCCCACTATCGAATGAAACTTCTCTAGATCTCAATCTGGGGGTTTTATAAGATCCTAATGAATTCCCAATGTACTCCAAACCCAAAAATCGTCACACAACGTATATACGTCCATCATTAATCGTAATTTATATTCCAAATTTTTATACTGATATATGCACAATAAAAGCTTCATTTCACTGCCCATTATGCATGTACTCATATTTACTTTATCATTTTCTGCAATCATTGCTTTTATTTAGCTAACCTATCCAATAGCCTTTAAATAGGCTACAGCGAACACAATTACCAACTGACTACGCCTTCCTCCAACAGGACACATATGTTTACAACACAAAATTTAAATATTAACTGCCCATACCGATCAAATAATCGTATTGTTGCTCAAGCTACTTTATCTCAACAAAACATTCCCCCTGACCCCCTGGCCACACATTAAAATATGGCTGCCACACCTAGCTGACACAGGAATTCTGGGAGTGTGAGAATTAGAGCCTACAAACAATATTGCCAGATTGGCTTCAAAATTATATTGGAATGTACATATGTCATTCTTAAATCACAATATAATCCAAGCTGCTGGAGAGAAACATATATACGTTAACACAATTATTCAATTAACTTTATAAAGACGCAGCTGTCTGCTGACGAAGTGTTTAAATCCAAAGCGTGTTCTGAAAATTAACCTTTCCAAGCTTTATTCTGCATTAGATTAAGCATACCTAATTAAAACATATCTAAAATTACATATAGACGACGTTATACACAAACATCAGAAGTCAATCAATAAATACACATTAATTCTCTTGGCTGTCAATTCCTCACACACTTAATTGGGCCAGGAAACTGTACATTTGGCAACCCTGATTTCCTTACTCGCTACCCGGATACCAAAATTACTGCTGAATCAAAATAGAGGAAATGTACTAATAAATATAATGGTACTGGTGGATTCACAAAATACTTTCTTCACTTGTTTAATAAATTCTGAGTTCTTTCTATGACATAGTATTTTATGGATTCTATGGTAAGTTACTTTACTAACCTTCGTAATGTTAAAGTTAGCTTTATTTTGATGACAGCGTCATATTGTTCATGATGGTGAGGCTGTGTGGTTGGAATAGAAGTTTTAAAATTATTCGTGTTTGTTGATGAAAACTGTGTTCCAATAAACCATATTTCAAGGTGAAAATATTTTTTTTGCGCGCAGTCAGCAGTGCTAATTTTGAGGCGGAGAGTGCCGCACAGAGAGCGTACGTGAAGAAGATTAAGTTCAAATCTGGCCAGCGAAGTCTACCCGCCCTGTTTTTCGTTCAACGAAAGCCAAGTAGGCCCATGGCCCTGGGTAAATTAATTGCATTTTATTAAGAATATTAATATTCTCACCATGTACAAATATTTTACGTACAGCAGTATGGCATAATTTATCAGAATCTAAACGCGTTTCTAATGGTTTTGTTTTTTCTAATTTCAGTATCAAAGAAAGACCATTACAGACAAGACTACTGGTTTTGGAGTAAGTGTTACAGAAGTGTTCCATGGGTTTAAGAGGAGCGTACATGGAACTCCTGCTGTGGTGTGAGCCGTTATTTCTTCACTCATCAAGGAACTTAACATGACCAATATTTTGGCCCATATCTGTCAGTAAAGTAGTGTTCATGGTACTTAAAAGTCGCAGAACTGTACCACTGGTACCAGTCATGGATGAACCAGTTAAGAAGAAGCAGAAAGTAAGCGAGGACGGGGTCGATGTAGGTGGTGGAGGGGATGAGGTGGACCGGGAACTGTTGGTTATACAACAACATATGTTGAATCAGTGTTTGTGTCCTGTATCAGAAAGTAGCTTACGGAAGCCTTTTCAAAGTGTGAGACTGGTGTCAGATGGTCAGGGAGACTATCATGTACCAACCCTTTCAGAATGGAGTCGCGATCGCATTTTGCTCTTTGTCAGCACACTTCAACTTTTGTGTGAAGTAGCCATCAAACAGAAGGCTAAGCGATCGATGTGTACACGTATCGGTGAAATCTGTGACGCACTTGTGAGAAATGAGTATGGCCTCATTGAACAACTAATAGAATTCTCGTCCCATTCTGATCCATTTATTTGTTTCACAGCAAGTCGAGCACTGTCAGCGTTTCTGATAGTGTCAAAGTCACACGTTAATCGCAGCTGGTTAGAGAGTTTGACAGAAAATGCCCTTGTAACTACTCATGCACAAAAAATCTCGTTTTCTTTGGAAGTCATAAAACACGTTGTAGAATGGAAAGATTTAGATACACATCCATTGGAAGACAGTAGTGACGACAGGCCACCTGTCACATGCGTTGTTGTTAATGTGTCAGAACCTGAAAGTCTGGATACAAGCCAAGTGAAGTGTCTTTGTATCAAAGCACTTGAAGCACAGTGGCCAGCAATTGTTAAGAAGTTTAATGGCATGATCGGTAGTTATTCAAGTGAACATGAATCAACTATTGTGACTTTTTTAGGCCTATGGGAGGCAATAATCTCTGTAAAAGCAAACCTCTCAGTTGTTGATACAAAGCCATTTTACGCACACCTCGACAGGTTTGTAGCACTCCTTAATCCTGCTGTTCCTCCTGGTATCTGGAAACACTTGTTGGGATTGTTTAATGAAGTGCTGTGTTATGGCAGTACTTTAGCGTTGCAAGACGTGTTGGCAGAAGAACCTTGTGCTTTAGCTCATTTGGTGGTGCGTAGCGTGAAGGACTGGCATCTCCTGGATACACTTCCATACAGGGGTGGTAGCGGCAGGTTTGGGGGTGGTGCAGGAGATGGAGATCGTCCCCTTCTCCAGAAGATGGCGTTGCTCGTTTTGAAGAGCGTTGCGGTGACAGTGAAGGAGACTCGGTGTGACAGTTCCAGTGACAGCTCCCTGGGGTCAGAAGCAGATGATGTAGATGCTGATATGGCCATGATCGAACGTAGCATTCGCGAGGTACTCCGTCAGCTAGACAACTGTGTTAAAACCTTGTTGCCTTTCCATCCTGAAACTCCTCTGGCACAGTGGGTGGTCCAGCTATTTGCTGATCAGGATGATGCTCTAATTGAAGGAATGGTTTGCTGTTTAGATGTAGCTGTAGGATTATTCTACCGTAACTCAGCTCAGCTTGATCTCAGGCACACGTTAAGCCCAGCTGCGACTTTTGTACACTTCCTAAGGGCTGTCTCTCATGATCCAGATGTCTTGTTAGACCTCCTTGTTTCCAATGAGACATGCTTTCTTCTGTACCTGTTGCGGTTGCTGAAATTTGTCCGTCGAAATTGGGTGGAGTTTGTGGCTTGCTGCAGTCGTGAATTGGACAGCACTATGTCTGTGTTAATAAGGTTGCGCCTTGCTATAGATAGACTCGTCTCGAAGGCGCTGTTTCCATACAATATCAACCCAGTTCTCAGGTTACTGGAGAAGTGTGAGCAAATGTATGAGGTTAATGACAGTTAAATTTAAGAAACATTTAAAAGTGTATGAAGCATTTGAGAGCAAATGTTGAAGATGCATCCCTTGATGAATATTCATGATTATGTAGCATGTATCTTTTTTTTTACTTCCTGTTGGAGATGATATGTATGATTATTTATATGAATCACTTGCTGATATTACAGTAACATAGGATAAGTTATGTTGAAAACTGCCAACACATTGATATTTTATACCAGTCTTGTTTTAAGCACTGTAGATAATGTCGTACTGTATATTTGGTATTTAATATTTATGATTCAGCAACAATTATTTTAGATTTTATTGTAACTCAACATTTTTCAGTAATAGTTCAGAACACTCTGTGCCTGATAGTTACCCTTTCTGCTGTACAAACTCCCTTTATAGATATGTTATATTTTTTATGGTACTTAACAGGTGATTCAAGTAATTTAAATCTTTACTGCCATGTCGTACGCCATGTTAGTGATGCCATCCTTGTAAGTTTATTTGTAAAAACAAACCCAACAGCATAATTTTATGCAGGAAAATTCTGAGGTTATGCTTTAGGTCTTGTTTTACAAATGAACTTGCAAGGTTGGCACCACTAACATGGCAGACAACATGGTGGTAATTTGGAAAGCTCCTTGGATCATCTGCTAATATGTAAGTACCTTTTTAATACCTACCAAAGCCATGACAGTTATTGCCAGATTTTTCCTGTACACAAACATTCCAAAATAACAAGACTTGAAAATGTTGTGCAGTTATGAGTTGTATATAATCTTCTGTCAGAACAAATATAATATTGTTTTTTATTCTTTGACATTCTTTTCAGAATATTTGAAATAATGGAAAAATATATATCTGTCAGCATTTTATAAGTAACTTAACGGTACTCTGTGCACTTCTTTTAATTTCTCCATCTTTCAGCTGATAAATTTGTAATTAACTAATTTGAGTGCTTCTTCACAGAAAAACTGGGTTTTCTGGACTTTTCCCATCGTCTGGAATTCTAGGTAATAGAGGATACGTTTCAGAAACTGGATCTGTTTCTGTCTTCAGGTGAGAATGGAAGACACCTACTCAGTAGGGCCCCTTAGAAAGAGCTAATCTCAATCACAGTGCAGATCCAGTTTCTGAAACGTCATGTCCTCTATTACCTAGAATTCTGGATGATGGAAAAAGTCCCAAAACCCAGTAATTCTGTGTCAGAACCCTTTAGAACCCCCCAGCGTGCTTCTTCTCTGGCTAAAATGAAAACTTAAGGTGAGCCTTTGAAGTATGTATATGCTTCGTGTGAAATCTGAGATTCTCACTCCAATAAGTATGAAGAGCACTTTCTTTTGGGATGTGGCTCCTTGTAGTCTGCTACAGGTTTACAATGTTCTGGACAATATACTTATTCCATCATCAAAGTCAAAAGAGTATTCCAAGCCTCAAGATGGAGTTAGAATATGCTCATGAAACTTCTGTAAACCTGTATCAGACCACATGGCATTGTATCCCAGAAGATAATATGCTGCCACATTCAGCAACACCACTCTCACATGTTCACTCTTAGCCCTAATCCTTGCTATCTGGTGCTATCATAGACTGTTCTTCCCATGCATTTTACTCATATGCCCTGAAGATGGAAGAAGCAGATGCCTTCGAAACATTGATATCTGCCTACCAAACTACCCACAATATCGAAGTCTTTATATGCAAATGTAACCCCCCCCCTGAACAAAACAGAATTTATATCTAGTGTTTAGTCGGGTGGTAATGACTGACAGACCACTGGAACTAAGCATGTGGGATTTTTAATTTGGAGAGAGTATAAGGACATGTGCCAGTCTGATGCCAAGCATTACTTGAGTTACAAATGTGGGGCAGGTCATATCTCTGATGCTATATCAGGCAATTTAATGTAGTTAGAACCTGTAAAGGCAAAAGGTAAAATTACCCGTGCTTATTGTGCACCGCCTCATGAAGACTTATGGGAGAATGCAGGTATAGTTCCATCATTCTTGACTTTGGCACTAGATAGAGGTGCATGGTTAGCTTTATGCCTCAGCTGCTTTGCCCTACTCCACCCAGTACCCATTCAACAGGAGGCTGGGTGGGCTCCAGAGCTGTTCTACATGCTATGAGGAAGAGAAAAATCTCTTGCCCTTACTGGGAATTGAACCCCAGCTGTGCAGCACATAGCCTGTCACTATACCAACTGAGCTATCCTGGCTGGTGAGTCAGAATACATGACAGAAATTGTGAACATGAATGGCCATTTAAGCACCATGTTATGGAGACGTATGGAAGATTGTTCATGTCCACAAATTTGTTCTTGACACCAGGTGGAGGAGAGTTAGCTTGATGCCCTGGGGAGGTGCCCCTGGTACCAGTTGGATAGGAGGCTGAGTGGGGCCTGTCTGAACACTGTGGAAAAGTGTAATATCTGTGACCCTACCAGGAATCAAATCCAAGTCTTCCTGTCTATAAGCAGTCACGTACAAACTCAGCCATCTTAGCTCCACTAAGTGGATCACTGAATTGTACAATTTTATACCGAATACATTGAAAAACTGGCAAGTTGACATGAGATCTTTGTAGAGCATCTTGTTCCCATTGCTATCACAAAAATGCATGGACCACCAAACACAAAAATTACAGGCAAGTGAAAAGACAGTAAACATGTAGTTAGATTTTTGTTTTGTTAAACTGACATAGTTTGGAATTTTCCATCACATTTAAACAAACACACCACTTTGGAAGTTGGCTTCTGCCCCTGACTTATATTGGAGAGGTGCCAGTTCACATCTCAGCCAAAACACTAACTGTCCTGACAGGTTTTGTGTGATTTTCCTATCAGTCCGTGCAGATGTTGGGATAGCACCGTAAATTAGGCCATGACCACTTCCACGTCCTAACTAAAACTAACTTTATGGAGCTGAGCCCTTCTTGAGAAGCCGCCAGCTGCACACCTAGTCAAGAATTTCCCAGCATTTTATGGAACCTGAAGGTTCATTACCGTGTTCACAAGAGCCCTCCACTGGTCCCTGTTCTAAGCCAGATTGATCTAGTCCATACCACCCCGTCCCATCACTCGAAGATCCATTATAACATTGTCCATCCACCTATGTCTTGGTCTTCCTAGTGGTTCTTTCATTCTGGCTTTTGTCACCAATATCCTATATGCATTCCTCTTTCCCCCATTCATGCTACATTCCCAGCCAATCCCATCATCGTTTTGATCATAGTTCAGTAATATCGTCAATATTATGTAGTCTGAAATTACCAACTTAATTAAGCATTACACCTTGAAGACATGGGGGAGTGGAGGTATAGCTCCATTATTCTGAACCTTGGCATTAGTGGTGACTTGGTCAGCTTCTTGTCTCTGTCACTTTGCTTGTGGTACCCATTTTATAGGAGGCTGGTCTGAATGCTCTGCAGAAGATGAAAACCTCTTGCCCCCACCAGAAATCGAGCCCATCACCTAGTCACTGTATTACTGAGCTACAGTACCATTACACAAAATACAAATACCGTTATCACAAACCTTAGGCTTGACTTAAATTTGTGTCCTTTTGGTGGGGGGGGGTTATTTTTTAAGTTCAAATGTTAAATCATATGACAAGCGGTGGATAAAGCCATACAGATGTACATATCCAGTATGTAAAACACAGCATCTGAGATTTCCACATGTAAGCTGTTACCTTTCATGATTTGATTTTACTACTGTTGAGACCAAGGGGAGCTGGGAGAGCATAGTTGATAGAGCGACTGGCTATGGGCTGGACGACCAATGGGTCAGAGTTCGAGTCCCAATAGGACCAAGCATTTTCTCTACCTTATACAGATCGGCTCTGGGGCCCACCCAACCTCCTATCCAATGAGTACCAAGGGCTGTTTCCCTGGGGGTAAAGCAACAGGGGCATGAAGCTGAACACTTACCTCCAACTAGTGCTGAGGCCAATAAAATGTGGATCTATATGTCCACTCCCCCATATGCCTTCATGGCTTAGTGCTTAATAAGTCTTATAACTTTACCTTTTACTGTTGAGACTATAAACTTCTCAAAAGAAGCCAAAATTGTCCCTATGGTGTGAAATCAGGCCTCAAGTATACATTTTGCATTCCTGAAAATGAAAGCTAAGAGCAGGGCAGTAGGCTGTGCATGCTTAGCTCATTAGTGCAGATTCCATTGAACTGTCTGTGGCCACTGGCTACTTGCCAGATATTCAGGCATTCTATTAATACCACCTTCCCCGAGCATGTGAGTTTGAAACTGCTCCACATTATTTGACTTTGAGCTGGACAATACACATGTCTGGAGGTCAGATGTCTGAAAAGAACTTCATATCTTGGAAGCACAAACTGTTCTACACTGGGGACCGAACTGGTTGGTCGAGAGATAGCAATCTTGGCTGGGACACTAGTTATGCTGACTGAGGTCATATGTGGTTTTCCTCCAGGACAGTACTTCAATTAAACCATAACTGTTTACTTCAAAATTCTTTCCTTTTGAATTCATCAGTCATCATTCACCACCACTGTAGTCTGGCTAATGACAGTGTTGTAAAATATACCACAAAAAATTACAATCATCTTGCAACTTTGTGATTGTTACTTCTTGTGATGTTGCATAGATTGAGGGTGTTTGAGAATGGGGTGCTGAGGGGAATATTTGACCTCGGAGGGATGAAGTGACAGGAGGTTGGAGAAAGTTTCATAATTTGTGCTCTGTCCACATATTAAAATAATCAAATCAAAGAGGATGAGGTGTGCATGGCATGTGTGGGAGAGAAATGCATAAAGTTTTGATATGAAAATCTTAATGAAAAAAGTACTTAGGAAGACAGCGGTGTAGATGGGCAGTTCATGGAGTTGGTTAATGGTTGTAACCTTCCATTCATCCAGTATTCACCTTCTGTGCCCCAAAATATGTACAACCTGTTATATCTGCTCCATAGTACCAAGGTTCAGATTTCCTGTGCACTTGTATTTGTTTGGGGAGGGAATCACGTTTAGCTATGTTTCCTTATTAAAGAAAGAAAGAAAGTAGTTTTATGAAATTGACATGTTGTATGTCCCTGCTTTCAACTTTTGAACCAGATACTTGTTTTCGTGAAACTTGGTGTGCCATTGGAGGCCACCATATGTATTAATTTCCTACTCAGTAATAGCAACATGGCAGAGATACAGACTTGTGAGGTGAGCATGACAGTACTTCTTAATACAGAATCCTGATGCACTGTACAGTAGTAACATCTTTGGAAAATATGCAGCTTTTCTTCACACATTTTTTTTGTAGCATGTAAAAGAAAATGGTGACCATGCTAACTTTTATTTAGCATTTCATTTGAGGACCATGTATTTTACAAAGTGAGGTGGAAAAAGTTATCAAGGACATGAGGAATGGAAAGGCTACAGGAGATGATGATGTACCTGGACATGTACTTAAGTTACTGGGAGAAGGTGGTTTGAAAACATTGACAAAACTAATAAACACCATATATGAAACTGGGGAGGGGCCCAAGGACTTTACAGAAGTGACAATGATTGCCTTAGAGGAAAAGACAAAAGCTACAAAATGCAGCGACCATTGCACAATAAGTCTTATTGCACATACAGCAAAGATAATAGCAAA